AAACAGGAAAGGCGAGCTCGAGGGCAGAGGTTTCCTGAGGAGGCAATGCAGCAAAAGAGAAGGTGAAGTCTGGAGAGAGTAGAGGCAAGAGTAAGGTATTTAAAAACTGATAGGAATTCTTTCTATTGAATGCCTTTGGTAAGTCTTTCAGCAGGATTTTGAAATGACTTTTCAAATACCATCATTATACAGTGCAGTGGAAAGAGTTACAGAACAGGAAAAATCAGAGTTATTATAAGACCCTAATTCTTTTACTCTCACATTTACTTCTAACGATCTGTGTGAACCAGGTCAAGTTTTTGGAACTCTTTGGTTCTGTTTCGATGTGCCTGAAATAAATATGGTTGTAGATAACCTTAAATTCTTTCTCGGGTTAAAAAAAAAAAAATACAGTTACAATAGTGGCACGTATGTGGTTTGTTTATTTAAAGGCTGGCCTATTCAAAATAAAGATACTCCAAAATCACTTAAATCATGTTATAACCTTGGGAAAGTCATTTTTATCTCTTTGGAATTTATTTTATTAATCTAGAAAATAAAGGAGTTGAACTACATGATTTCTAAGTTCCCTTCAGGAATTAAAGTTCTACAATTAAATAATTTTAACTTCACCTGTGAATCTCAATTAAAATGAATAAAAGGTAGAGTTGCAATAATTTAAAGGAAATCTGTATGAACATTTTTCTTATTTAAAAAACAGGGAGGGGGTGAGGGAAAAATAGGTACACTAATGAACTACTGGTAGAGAAGTATACTGGTCCAACTATTCTATAGAACAACTGAGAATTATGTTGAAAAGGCTATAATACTGTGCATACCCTGTAATACTACTACTAGGTCTATATCCCAAAAAGATCAAAGAAAAAGGAAAAGGACCCATATGAACAAAAATATTTATGAGAGTTCTTTTTTTCAGTAGGAAAGAACTGGAAATCAAGAAGATGTTCATCAGTTGGGGAATGGCTAAACAGTTGTGTGATTGTGATGGAGTACTACTATGCTAGAAGAAATGACAAGGCAGGGGGGTGGTTTCAGAAAAACCGGCAACAACTATATGAACTGATCCAAAGTAAGAACTGGAAGATCACTATGCACAGTAAGAGCAATCAACTGTGAAAGACTTGGCTACAACGATCCAAGAAAATTCCAAAGAACATATCAAAAAAAATGCTATCCACCTCCAGAGAGAGAACTGATGAACTCTGCAAACTGAAGTATAATTTTCTTAGTTTCTTTAGTTCTCTTGCCTTTTTTTGGAAATATGGCTAACATGGAAATATGTACTACAGGATTTCACATGTATAATAGACAACATATTGCTTGCCTTCTCAGTGGATGTGGGAAGGGGTGAAAGAGAGGGAGAGAATTTGAAACTCAAAATTTGAAAAGAAAAAAGTAAACAATAAATAATAAATTGAAATGTTTTAAAAAGGCAAATAGCAACACATCAATATAATAATTCCTTTAATACTGATCTATAAGCTACTTTAAAAAATCTACCTTCAAAGCCTATTTAATCAAAATTCAACAGAGGTTTTATGCTGAAGAGCAGAAACTTTATACTTGGGACAAATAAAATACCTTAACAAGACACTAATTGTTTTTACAATAATTACACTAGAATTTTCCTCTTTTAATGGGTTAGTTAGCATACTCAGTAGGAAATTACATGCACCTTTTAAAGTAATTTATTTATATGAACTCATTTTGACATAAAATGATACACACTAACTCTTAAGCAAAATCTATTTAAAATTCAGATGAAACTGAATTTAGGGAAAAAAGTAAAGATTATTACTTAAAATTTGGTTACAATGAATTCCTACCTGTTACTAAGACCCTCTTACTGGTCACCCAGACTACACTAAGTACTTCTGCTATTCTTACAATCCCCAGGCTATCTTTTCCAATCCAATCCCATCCAATCAACATTTATTAAATGTCTACTGAGTGCAAGATGTGTTAGACATGGAGAATGCAAAGACAAAGCAAAAAAAAAAAAATTCCTGCCTCCAAGCAGTGATTATTAAACTGAGTGGAAAGAACATGTCAATGGGTAAGGATATACTAAACTATCTGAGTAGGGAGAGCTCATTAATGACTGAGAGATCAGAGAAAAGTCTCACATAGGATGTTTCCCATGAGTTAAGCTTTGGATGATGCTAGAGATTGCAAGAGACAGAAATAAGGAAGGAGGGTTTTACAGGTATGAAGTCAAGAGACAGGATGCGGAGTTTATGAAATAAGCGTGGAAAGGCTGAAATCAAATTGTTAAGAGATTTGGGATGCCAAACTGCTAGAATGGTCTTCCTAAAGTGAAGTTCAGATAATATTCCATCCCTAAGCTAAATAAAAAACCTTCAAAAGCTCTCCAATGCCTACCAAATTAAACTTGGTATTTAAGAACTGCCATAATGTATTTGTAACTTTTTTTCCCCAAGTTTATCATACACTACGCCTCTTCTTGATTATACACTGTACCCAAATTCTACTACTCACCCTTCCCAATCTCTATGCCTTTCCTCATGATGTTTCATATACCAAGAATGACATCTTCCCATATCTTTGCCAAGTGAAACTCTACCAATCAAGGCTCAATTTAAATGGCATCTCTTCCATTACAAACCTTTTCCAATCACTTCTTACCAAAAGTGATTTTATTCCTGTTGAATACTATTGCACTTTATTCACACTTCTCATATTGTACTTTATGCATGTTGTCACGTGACAGTTATGAACATTTCATTTCTCATGCCAGATTTTAAAATCCTTGAGGGCAAGGACTATGCCTTTTTCATTGTTACAGTCTTCACTCACACAGAATAGGTTACATAAGGAGAGCATAAGCTCTGGCACGTTCTCTTATTCTGGAAAGGCTTTGACCACAATTGAAAGAATAGATTGCATCTGTATTCCAAGGATCAAAATAATTAAGTTGGGAGATGCTAATCACTAAATAGGCTAGTTATTTGGTAATGAACTGTTTGGCTATGTCAAATCTCTAGAAACAAAGGAAAAACACAACTTGGCACTCAGTCCTCTGAGCCCTTCTTCTACTTTAGTAGTGATACAGGCAGAGCAGCAAACAAGGTGGCAAAGGGCCAGATAATTATACAGTTTTTAAAACCATGTATAAACATTAACTGTTGCTTGTGATATAAATATAAGCTTACTGGTCATGACTAAATAGATATTATATTGGAGGAACTGAATAATATGAAACTAAGCTTTCTCTTTATAAATGAAATTAGAAGACCAAAGTTGCAACTAATAGAGGGACGGCTCATTGGTTCTCCTTTGGAGAGGCAAATAAAGGAGTTGGCATCATCATTTGCATAATACCTATCTGCATAAAGACCACTGTGAAGATGACTTCTGTCTGAAACACAGAGAGGATTAAGAAGTACAGAAATTATATGAAAAATATGGCCTTTTGAACTCAATCAAGATATACTTTTTAATACTTCATGCTTTTAGTAAAAAGTTGAACATAGGAAAGCAGTGAAAAAAAAAAGTATGTTTGAAAACATGGTTGAGAAGCAAGAAATGAAAGCAGCCAAAGGCTTATAGACAGAAGTTTCATCCCAATATATCATGTAGTAGGCTTCATGCTTATACACACCTTTTTCTTCAAGAAGGGGAAGAGGAGGTGCTGGATAGTGAATATTGACTCACAATAACATCATAAAAATAAAACACATTCAAACAGACATGAAAGACTGATTAGAACAATAATAAACATCTACACCAAGCACTTATTAAGCTTTTACTGGCATTATGCTAAGTATTGGGGATAAAAAGAAAAAGCAATAACAGTTCTGACCCTCAAGGAACTTTATATAAAAACACACATACACAACACATACAAAGTAGATGGAATGTGGCCCTTAGAGGAGAAGGTACTAGCATTTGTAGGGGGAACAGAAGTAGTGATTGAGGTGAATAAAAGTGAGATAGGACACACAATTGAGATAAGTCCAATCTGACTTATTTAAACAAACATTACCGATGCCAAAAAATAGAAAATTGATAAAAGAATAGATGACAACATAGGCTATTACCATTATCTCTAAGGAAGTTTAACCAATGTAAATCAATCATTACAAATGAAGAGAACAAAAGGACAACTTTGTACTTCTCTTAAAGCATAAATGGAACCTTACAACTTGACTAAACTACAAGTAGTTTATTGTGTTTGGCCACTTACTCTCCTCTGCACATGCTAAGTATTGTTTTAATTAATGCAAACTAAACTCAACTCCACAAATACTTATTAAACTGTTACTGAAGGATATAATACATAACATAATGCTAACTTCTTCACTTAATCACAGACTATCATTAGATTATAATAACTTGATACTCTCCAGATGAAAGAACTAAGATGCAATATATTTCATTCTCTATCTATTCAAAAAAAGGACAAAATGTTATGGTTATTTGTAATCTGTAATTTTAAAAAAGACACCAATTAGACATATAAAATAAACTAAGAATAATACACTCTTGAATGTTATAATGTATCGGAGAGGACAAGAAGATCACTAACATGAAAGATTTCACTTTATAATATTTGACAGAAAATGTTTTTCCTATTATTTTCACCTATTATACTTTTAGAACTAAATAATCTTTTAAGTCCAATTGTTATTTACTTTCATTTCTCTATTTTAATGAGGATTGGTAAGTACTTTAAAATAGCTTAATACAACTTATGAATCAGTTCTAGGTCGCATTTTTAGGAATAATGAAGACTACAATAATGGAAATGAAGAGAAATACTAATTTAAGGGTAAATAATGAAGTACTGAGAAACTGCTTAACATTCATGAAAATGTATTAATTTTAGGACCCAAAATAAATAATAGAAAGGGAGTGCAAAATGATCTTTCTTTAAAAAAGAACACTAAAAACACCAACCCCAAATCTTTTTTCAGGTGTGAATGGGGTACATACTTCTCTCCATTTCAAACAAATTGAAATAAGGGAGAAATGCTTACAGGTTTGTATCTCAATGCATCTCTGTAGGATCCAAACAAAGCAGCCTGAGCCCTAAGAAAGGCTCTAGCTACTCCATCACCCGTAGCTGTAGACTGCTTCTTCAGTTTATTTTTCAAGGCCGAGACCTGTGTGACAGAGAGGAACAGTTAAATTAACACCTCAGAAATTGGTACAGCAAGGTATGAACCCAATCAGCAGGCAAACCACAGTGTCTGCAGGTCAGCCAAAAAAATCATCCTCCTCTTTGATAGCTTATCTTTTTAACTGTAGAGAGCACCTGCTGGTTCGTTAATTGAAAGGAAAGCAGGAGATGATGGTAAAGTGCTAATGTAAATTGGTTTATGCTCTCTTTTTTTTTTCCCAAGGCCTCTTGACATAAATAATCTTTAATTATTTTACAGTAAACTGCTTGTGAGCCACTTTTCAGAAAGATTTTAGCAATCATAACATGTGCCTGCTTGTTTGAGATAAAGCCAGTTGGGCATCTTTCATTTATGTACGTAAGGTTATTTGTTAAGGGCCCCCAAGGTTTACTTACCATTTACTTGATTTTAAGATTTTTTTAATGCCTTATTAGCATGTATAATTTCTACCCAAGCATTTGGTCAACCATTATCTGTTACTTAGGATGGATGGGAGGTTTTCATTATAATTGTCTTTATGGCATTTCTCATGCTTTTATTTTCAAAGTACCCCTTATAAGACAAAACAACACCTAATTTTTTGCCCGATTTCTGAGGTTTATCAATCTTATTTGGCTTGATGATTCAAAATTCAAGTTTTACATATTTTAGAAGATACTTATGATACTTTAAAAAGTAAAATTTCTTACCTAAACCTAATAAAAAATGAAATATGAGAGGAGATAGGTTTATTCACCCTCTAACTCATTCCATCCTCTTTTTTTTCAAATTGTGCAACGTTAAAATACTTAGAAAGCATGGAAATTTAGGTCTGTCCACTTGGAAAATATGTACATTCATATTCCATTACTCATCATTACCTCCCAGAGAAATAATTAAAGTAGTTCAATTATTTTTAAATTGATAGGAAAAAAATGCACAAAATCAAGTTTGTTTTTTAAATAAGGTAGGTGTATTCTTGCCCTCATAAACCATCCTATAGCCAAAATAGTTTCATTCCTTCCTTTTGAATGAATATAAAGAAAAATTTTTTTTGGGTTTTTTTTTATGCAATCAAGTTATGACTGTTCTTGTAGATGATGATTGTAATTGAAGTGTCAACCTAATTAACAACTAAACTTTGAATAATGCTAATGAGAAAGGAACACAGCATCAGAGAAAAGACTGGCTCTACAGGTGATAAACCTTCACAGTAGTGACATTTTCCAGTGTAAAGTCACAGTTACTGTGATTTGATCAAAGAAAGAGATCCCCATTGGGTCCAATTATAACCATAGTTTTGAAAAAAAATTATTGAGTTATGATGTTCATAATCTATGCAGAAAGGCCTTTACAGTATAGGTCTTCTCCCCATAGCTGTGGTCTTTTTAATTTATATCCAAGCTCCATAGATTCAGATAAAAGTTTAGAGCTTGAGTCATTTAGCCCATGGAGTTGCATATACTAGCTCTCATTTAAGAGATTTTTAAAAAGTATTAAACTATATCTCAAAAGATATAAAATGTCTTTTAAAAGATTTTATTAGTGCAAAAGAGTTGGTGCATTTGAATGTTTAAAAAATAAATGCTTGTCATATGATAGTTTTTGTCCTGCATTTTATTTAAATCTGAAAACATATTTTCATTTAAAGACTAATGAATATCCAGTAACAATGATTTTATTTATAATAAGTTAATCAAGAGAATAGTTGACTGTTAAAAATTTCCTTCTACAGGGCAGCTAGGTGGTGACATTTACTAGCTGTGTGACCCTGGGCAAGTCACTTAACCCCAATTGCCTTAAAAAAAAAGAGAAAAGAAAAAAAAGTTTCAAAAAAAATTTCCTTCCATATACTCATTTTGTGGTCATACTTTGAATTTGATGAAAAATTACAAATAGTAAACAAAGGGGAGGGAGAAGGTATTTTTTAAATTAACAAAAAAAATGAGTGAACTAAGGCCCTCATAATCTGACCATAAATGTATCTTACTCTACTTCCAAATTAGACCTGCAAAAGCTATTGACTTATACCTGTTAGGATGGAAAGACAACAAAAGAGACAGGAAGCTTAGTATGTAGCCTAAAGGAGCTGTCTAAATTCACATGAAAACTATAAAATAATCACAAGAAACCCTAACAGAATGATACCTTGTATTTTCTTATATATTTTTCTAATACATATTTTCCACCCCACTCCAGAGCCAAAGGTATTCTTCTCTCCATATAATTTTTCATGCTGAATGGGCTCCCATCAGCAGCATACAAAAATAGATTTAAAGTCATTCCTACATTTCTTTTTCAGAGAACAGAACAATAATAGTTTAGTACTCCTTTGTGCTGAGGTCAGTATCTAAAAGAAAATCTGTAGAAAGAAAATGTGTATTGTTTAAAATCACGCCACTATTTTTGATGTGACATGTTAAAGTCTGACAAAACAATGTTGTCAACTGTGCTCTTACCCTGAGCTATGTGCTATCATTGTCCACTGTAATCTTCTTTAGCTCTCCAGTAGTTTACATTTACATATATGCATATAATGTACATATTACATATATAGCCTTCTGCACAGTGTCAGCTGTTTTGCTTTTCATATTTTAAAATTTATTTTTGAAATAATTTTTTTTCTAAAACTTTGCCATATTTAATAATTCTGCTTTGGAAAATGAGCAGTTATACTTCACACAGGTATTATTTCAAAATTATTCTGACACACACAAAATGATTGACTTATTTTTGTCATTTAATAAAATAAAGATGACTCATGACTTATAATGCCAAAAGGTTCCAATTGGAACTGGAATTAATTTGTTTAAAAAAGCTTTTTTTCTTCTTGGTCTAATTGGATCTTCTTGGTAGGAGGAACACTTCAGTATTGTACGGGTTAACAAATGTTCATGCCTTTTCAACTGCTTTTATAAAATTTTAGAGTCCATTCATCCTAAAAAAGAAGCAACTTGGGAAAGAAATTATGACCTGGGTTGTGGTACTGTAAGAGTTCATAGAATTCAATGAAAAAATATACAGTGCTATAATTAGAGAACTTACAGCTGAGAGAGAACTGGGAGATCTTTTACTCCAAACATTTTAAATCAATCAATAATGAATCAATAAACATTTATTAAGTACCTACTATGTGGCCAGGCACTTTGGAGAAACAAATGGAGATACAAAAAATAAGTGGTGAAACACAATCCCTGTCCTCCAGGAACTCACAATTTAATGAAGAGATAACAAAGAAACAAATATATACAAACAAGTTATATACAGGATAAATAGGAAACAATTAACAGAAGGAAGGCATTAAAATTAACAGATGTTTCATTTTACAAATGGAAATTGACGCCTGCAGAAATGGGTACTTGCCCAATGTTATCTATACAGTGGCAATGCAAGGAATTGAAAAAAGGTCCTTTAATATTAAATCCAAGTGCTTTTCCATTACATCATATTGCCTCATTCCTGCTGCTATACTCACCAAATTTCTTTTTATTACCATTTTGGCATTAAAATGTCTGTGGAGAAAATTTAATTGAAACCTAGTAAACAACCATTTTTAAGTGCCTTTTAGATATGCAGTTATGCCAGGCACCAAAGACACATGGAAAAAGAAATCCAGCATAACTGCCACTGCTTTCAAGGACTTTATATTGTACTAGGAGGAAATCATGTGAATAAATAGCACTACTATACCAGCTAGAAGACTCAGTGGATGGAGCACTGAGCCTGGAGTGAGGAAGATGAGTTCAAATCCAGCATCAGACACTTAGCAACTGTGTGACCTTGGGCAAATCACTTAACCTCTGCTTTAATCCACTAGAAAAGGAAATGGCAAACCACTCCAGCATCTTTGCAAAGAAAACGCCATGGATAGTATTGGTGTGCTGTGGTCCATGATGTAACAAAGAGTTGGACATGACTAAACAACTAAACAACAGCACCATACATTACAGAATGGTTTAAGATTGACAAAGCACTTTCCTAACAATGAACCTGTGAGGAAGCTACTGTAATTATTGTTAGTCATATTTTACACATAAGGGAAGTGAAGCTCAGAAAGCCCAAGTATTTGCCCAGGGCCACAGTTAGTGTCACATATAGAATTCAAAATTGTTCCTTGTACTGAGGGATCACATTTTCTCTCAACAAACAAATAAAGATTAATTAATATTAGACCTTTATACAGAGGTTCAAAGTAATGAAGTCATCCTGGGCAAATACGGTTGATCAGGAAAATAAAGACTGAATTGCATTTTCTATTAGATAACAATGAGGGGAAAATGACCCACTACAAATGCTTATTGATATGACCTGACTAATAAAATCTAAATGTTTTTCAATATTAAAAAAGCTATAAAATAAAGAAGAGAGACTAAGCAGTAAATTACCTATGAAAATAAACTGTTCAATTTTCCACAGCCGTGTGATTTTTCCCATTTCTTTCTTAAGTATCGAGTTTGCACATTTGGCCAAAGCTGACGATTTTAAACCATCATCTTCTTTTGTCCTTACATTTTAAAAAGGTATAACATTCTGTGCGATTCTAAAAATAGAATACATTTTGTGACACAGAATTTGACTTCCTACTATTATGAAATTTTCAGGTTCTCATATAGAATCATTTCTTTTTCTCAAAAACAAGCAATTGGAAAGTATATATTTAACAATTTCTACTGGCCCAAGTACTGCTTTTGATCTTAAGTTTAACGTAAAATATAGGATACATTTCCCTATCTAAGGCATCATTCAATTCAATTCAATAAATATTCTAAAATACTAATCACGTACAAGGCAATATGTTAGACCATGAAGAGAGACAGACAAAGACTATGTAGTCCTGACCTCAAGGAACTTAAATCATACAGGGAGAATCCCAAGCACACAAATAAAGAGGGAGGGGACAAAAATAGTTGCAGGGAAATGAGGAACATAAGGTTACAGTTTTTGAGCTGGAAGGGAACCCAGAGGCCACTTAGATCAATCCCTTGATTTTACAGATGAAGAAA